CAGGCTCCAAAACACAGCCCCTAGAGTGCCGGAGACCACATTCGCCCAAATCACCGAGGCTTAATTGACAAAATAGCCCACTTCTGCCACTCATGAGAAATCCAAATGGGGCCCGTGCCAGATGTCACTGTCAACCTTCTCCTCAAAAGTCCCCCGGGGACCCAGGACACCGGAGGTCTCCTCCCTTCTTCTCACCCTGTACCCGTCCCCGTGAGCCCCAGGTAAGTCCCCAGGCACCTCACGGGGAGCCAATCCTGCCTCCAGCACCAGCCTGTGATTACAGACATCTTGAGCAGAGGGATTCTTGTAAACGAATTCAGATTAAGGGGTAACGGACTGAAAGCTTGTCACGAAGGACTTTCCAAGGGATCGGGCCGCAAGACCCCTCAGACGGGGTCAGAATGGGGACGTGTACAAGCATCAGCCAAGCTCAGGGCCTGCCCCTGTCAGCAGCGAGGCCTAGTCCTGCACCTTGCTAAGCCTCAGTTTACTCATCTGGAGGGAAGCACAAATAGCAGCATTGACCTCTGGGGGATGGCGAGAATCTGACAAGTCGATGTGTGTCAACCCCTTGGCACAGTGACAGGCACACTGTAGGTGACTCAGAAGCGGTCACTGTGGTGATAACTTGGAGAAAAGCAGGAAACATTGAGGAATTCAAGCGAAGGTCACAGCATACATTACACCGGGCTAAGTCAGAGGCCCTTTCCCGCCCAGACCAGTGGCCGCAGGTGCCAAAGGTTTTACACAAAAGCTCTGGGGAGAAAGACCGAAGACTGAGAAAATGCTCTCCACTAAATGAACGTTGTCTGCAAACTGGGAAAAGACCACCATTAGTCAATTTGGCCAGCGGAACACCTGGGGTCCGGCTCGCAAAAGCCTAATGTTGACAGTGGGGTTTGGCAAGCTGGCGTTTCCCCTTGGGGAATGGGGCTCTAATGGGGGGATTCACAGCCTGTGATGGGCCCACGACGCCCACAGTGGAGCAGAGAAATCTGCATTCCAGTCCTGGCTCCCTACCAATGGGAAGCACCTCTCTCGAGGCCTCGGTCTTCCCATCCGGAAGATGGTAGAGTTGAGCTGAGAACATCTATCTCCAAGGAGGTCCTGGGAGTTGACAGATAGCCCGGGGCCCCGCCCCAGCTGTAACCTGTGGCCCTTGCAAGCCCTGGGGGAGGGGGACAGCCCCACTCAAAGAGACCAGAGGAAAAGGAAAGAGGTTGGTTCACTTTGTGGCCAATGCTGGAGCGGAATCAGAGGGTCTTGCCTCCACGGGGTTTGCTTCCCCTGCTTGGCAGCACACAGAGGCCGGAGCAGGCCAAACACAAGAAATAATAAATCCTAACCAGGCTTTGCCCAGTCAGGAGGCCCCGGCTGGCTCTTGTCATAAAAAGATCTTATCCCCATGAGCACCCCGTGCCGCGGGTGGAGGACTCCGCCCTCCTCCCCTCAGCCCTCAGCCCTCCGCCTCCACTTCTATTTCCTGTGACAACCTGCAAACTGAAGACCAACTTGCCTCTCCCCCACGCCCAGGCTCTGGCTCGACCCCCGCCCCGCCCCGCCCCCGCCCGGGCCCCAGCTGCAGGAGGGCCCCGGCAGAGTGTAATTCCCCGCGCCCTCCTCTCTGCCCTGGGCCCGTCCGGACAGATTAAGCCTTTGTCACACACACCCAGAAAAGCTCAGGGCCAGATGGGACGGGACAAGTGGTGTCAGATCATCGACCCGGGGCTGGCCGGGACTAGGGAAGGGCCCGACCACAGCACCGCATATGGCTGTGGGAGGAGGCGAGGGGGCCCGGGGAGGGGGCAGCCAGAGAACAACATGGAAGAGAGATGACACACCATGGCCACCCTTGGGACCGCACACCGCGCCGGGGGCCCTGGTTCAGCGGCTGGGTGACCCAACACCCACACCCCCTCTTCCCTGCAATCGGTTTTGCTGCCCGCCCTCCCTTCGTGGCTCCGAGAGAGCTTCTTTATCACATCCTTAGCTAGGCCCACCTCCCCCACCAGCTGGGTGCCCAGGGGCAGGCAGAGTCCCACCGGCCCCAACACCCCGTACCCAACACAAGGCCTGTGGGTGCTAAACAAGTGCCTTGGGCAAAGGTTTACGGCCCGATGACCTTCACGAAAACCCACCCAGGACAAAACTACAGGATGTCTCCCAACTGCCACCAGAGGCCATGGCAACTCTGTGTGTGTGTGTGTGTGTGTGTGTGTGTGTGTGTGTGTGTGTAGGCCAGTGAAGGCAGGGGATGTCCTTTGCACCTTTCAAAGCCGGTCCCATTCAGCCCCTCCCAGGAAGAGGCCATGGCTGGCCCAGAATTCCCAGCAGGATTTGTTCCTCTTAGATCAGTGGAAAGAAAAATGGAAATATAAAAATAATTACTGAGACCCAGGAAGGTGCTTGGAGATGGGGGTGGCAGGACTCGGGGCAGCTCCTGCGGCCGGCTCCAGTTGGCTGGGCGAGTGGCAGGTAAGTAACGGGCTCTCTGGGGACCAGCAGGCCAGGCAGGAAGGCACGGGGCGCTGGAGGGGCAGGCTGTCCAAGGAGGGCACGTCTGCTCTGTTGTGTGTGTCGTCCTCCTGGCAGCCTGGGCCGGGAGACCTGGGGACCTGGGTCCCCTTTCTCTGCCTCCCAGGCAGGTGGTCCCTTGGGGAAGGCTTATTATTGGTCTGGGAGCCAGGGTGGAGGCTTGTGAGGCCCCTGATGCCAGGGATAGGTGCTCACGAAGGATCTGAAGAGACTGGCTGGGCTGGGAGGACCTGGAGCCCAGGCCCAGCACCCAGTTTCTGCATGTGGCCTGGATGGGTGTGTGTGTGTGTGTGTGTGTGTGTGTGTGTGTGTGCGCGTGCACCGTGTGTATGGTCATGCTTGCTCTGCCTGACAGCGGTGTTGCTAAGAGGGTAGAGGGACTGCCCCATAATGCCCACTCCCTAAGGGAGAAATGGACCCACACAGAGAACCAGTGAGCCAGCTGCCAAGTCTGAGGGTCACCTGCCTCCCAACTTCAGTAGTGGGTGGAGTGCGGGATCCTGCCTCCCGCTATGTGGAAGGTTGAACCAAGACTCTCAGGTCCCTGGGGAGGGATAACCAAGCTGGGGTAGGAGGTGCTAACTGGCCTGGATGGCTGAGGGCACTGACCCAGGGGAGGGGGCACAAGACCCAGTCAACCACCTGGAGGGTCACTGACCTCAAAAAAAAAAAACCACACTTAGATTGGGGACACTAGCCCAAGATGGGGGAGAACCCAAGGGGGTATGGAACTGGCAGGGTGGGGAAGACTGACCTAAGCTGGGGAGAGGCAATGGACCTTACTCCCCATAAGGGAAAGTGGGCACTGATTTGGGCTGGGGGAGGGGTGCCTGACTCGATCAAGGGAGGGGACAATGACCAGTCTCCCTGGGTTTGGGGGAGAGCACTGATTGGGGCTGGGGTGGGAGGGGGGGGTCCCTGACTCGCGCAGGGTGGGCCACTGCTCCAGCCTCGCCCTCCGGGAATCCGGCCCCGGCGCGCCCCCGGCCCGGCCCCGTGCTCCGGGTCCGGCCGGAGGCGGCAGCGGCGCAGATGGGCTGCTGGCGGCCGCAGCGGCAGCGGCGCGGTTATCAGCGCTCCTCGCAGATGGGCCGCCCGCCCTCCGCGCTCACGGCTCCCCACTCCCCGCGGCCTGCAGCCCCGTCCCCTGGGCGCGGGGGGGAGGCGCCTCCGGATCCGCTCCCTGGCTCCCGCCTCCCTCCCTCGCGGCCCCCTCACCCCGCGGGCCCCGGCCCGGGCGACCGCCGGAGGGGGAGGGGGAGGGGACAAGTGCACTTTTCGTAACGACCGAATCAATTGTGTGTGAAGAGCCCGCTCCGGCCGGGGACGGGGCTGAGCGCGGGGCGGGCGGGCCGGACGGGGGAGGAGCACGGAGGGGGGAGCGGGGGAGCGAGGGAGGGAGGGAGGCCGGCGCGGGGCGGCCCCGCTCGCTCGCTCGGGCCGGGCGAGGCCGGGGAGGGAGCGAAGGGGGCAGGGAGGGAGGCCGGCCGGGCCGGGCCCGGCCGGGGGCTGAACGCACTAATGGAGGGTCTCTGCGACGGAAAGTTCAAAGCTCAGCGGCGCCCCGGGAGCAGCCGCCCCCCCCAGCCCCCACCCGCGGCAGAACAATGAGGTCCCGGCGGGGGAGCCGCGGGGCCCGCGCCGCACGCCCTCTCCAGGGCGCCCCGGGCCGGAGGGGACGCCCCCGCCCGGCCGCCCGCCTCCTCCCTCCCGGCGGCTGCGGTTCCCCGCCCCCTCCCCCACGCCACCCCGCCCGGACCGGGCAGGCCCCGGGGACGGGGGAGGGGAGGGGATGGATAGGTCAGGCCGCCCCCGTCCCGGGGAGGGGGGAGCTAGGGGCCCGGGGGGCGGAGGGGGCGCCCCACCCACCCGCGCGAGGCTGCTCCTGCGCCAGGCTGCGGCTCGGGCCGCCCCTCCCCGGGCCAGCCCCGGGTGGGGTCGGAGAGACAGTGCCCGGGCGGGCCCCCTCCCCTGGCCCTGGGAGCCGAGTGGACTCCCCGTCCCGTGGCTACCCCTGCCCCCCCTCCCGCGGCACCACCCTACACACACACACACACACACACATACACACACACACACGCGGGAGCGCGAGGCGCCCGGGACAGGCAGCCCCGGGGCGGGCGGGGGGGGGGGGGAGGCTCGGGCTTCAGAGCAGCCGCCTGCTGGCTGGGGGAGGGGACGGGAGGACGGAACATGCTGGGGTGAGCTGCCCGGGACAGCCCGCCCGGCACCGCCACGGCCCGGGCAGCGGCGCAGAGGGGGGCAGGGACGCCCCGACCCCGGAGCGCTGCCTGGGCGGGCCGGGGCGGGCGGGTGAGCAGGGACGCGTGCGCCTCGGGAGGGCCAGACCCACGGACAACCTCAGGGACACACGTTCGGACACACATCCACACCCCCACACCCCGCCCCCGCCCGCCCCGAGCCCCGCGGTGGGACCGGCCCGCGGCCGCCGCGCGCGCACTCACCGAGCCCGTCTTGACCGGCACATACACCACTTGGCCCATCTTGGGTTCCCGGCCGCTGCCCAGGCGGAAGCCCTTGGAGCGCACCCAGAACTGGAACTTGCCTTTCTCGCCGGCCGCCGGGCCGCTGCCTGCGCCGGTCCCGCCGCCGCCCTGCAGGACCTCGGCGATCCGCTGGTATTTGCTGCGTGTCACCGTCTTGGTTTTGGCCGAGTCGCCGTAGGTGCGCAGGCACCAGTCCCGGAACTGGCGGCCCAGCTCCGAGTCCCCGGGGCTGCGCTCGCGCTCCCAGCCCCCGCGCAGCAGCAGCGTCGGCTTCGGCATCCTCCCGCCGCGCCCGGCGCCCTCGGGGGCGGGCCGGCCGCCGGGCCGCTGCCTGCGCCGGTCCCGCCGCCGCCCTGCAGGAGATCCTGCCTCCCGCTATGTGGAAGGTTGAACCAAGACTCTCAGGTCCCTGGGGAGGGATAACCAAGCTGGGGTAGGAGGTGCTAACTGGCCTGG